TATCGATAAGAGATCGCACGGGCCAACCTCCACTCGATCTTTTCCTGGGCCTGGCCACTCGTGATGCTACTCGTGCAGCCCGCATAGCAACCTTATCATCTGCGAACTCTCTGCGATCGATCGCGATTGATGCGACTTCTGGAACGGCTGTATCTCCCGTTAAGGAAGCCTCAATCGATCCCGGTGCCGATACGCTCTCTCGCCCGGCCATACCTCTACCGTCCAACCGCGGCCATGGACCTGTCTACGGATGCCGCTGAGCGTGTTCGTATGTCGCCCTTTCAAATTGAACGGGTCTGGCTGACGATCACGGCAGAAGGGCTCGGTGCATCATGACACACATGCCACCCCACCACAATTCATCCAGAAAGAGCATTGGCGATATCAGAGTATGCGCAAGGCCGACCTTGATACCGATCCCAACATCTTCGATCTTAGTAGACGCGACGAGTTCAGTGAAGAGCGCAAAGACATCTGGCGCCCTGCGGGCTTTATTCCAGCAGCTCAAATTGACGCTGCTTGCCAGGCGTATGCAAGGGGCAAACCACTCTCTGTACCTGCACAAGACGCACAGATCTTTGAGCATCGCGATTTCCCTGGTCTTCAAGTCATATCTGGGCTCCTTCCACCTGAGACGCAAGTTCTCTTCACATCATGTCTGATGCACAGAGACCTGGCAGATCCAGGCCATAAGATCAACCTCCAGGCGGACTATGATATACCATACCCCCCGAAACCAACGTCAGATGGAGTGCGCTTTGATAGTTCCTTCTTCCTTCGCCAACGGTCAGATCCAGCGGACTGCCTGACTCCGAAGCTTCCAGACAAGTCGAAACCCCTGAACAACGAGCAATTCTTGTACACCAAGCTTCGTTGGCTGACCCTCGGCGAACAATACGATTGGCCAACGCGCAGTTACGCAAAGCATGCGACGCCATTTCCGGAAGACCTGTCAACGCTTGTGACGGGCCTTTTCCCACATATCCGGCCTGAATCTGGCGTTGTCTTGATGTACTCAGCCAAGGATTTTATGCCTGTGCATCGCGACGTCAGCGAGCAATGTCAACGCGCGCTAGCGAGCTTCAGCGTCGGATGCGATGGAATCTTTATCATGGCTCGAGGGGAAGATGACGGGGAAGGTGAGAATGCACGACGAAGCGTTGCGATTCGAGTCCACAGTGGCGACGTTGTGCATCTCACCGGTAATGCTCGCTGGGCATGGCATGCGATGGCGCGTTCAATACCAAGCACATGCCCAGCTTACCTTGCAAACTGGCCCGCTGGTACACCTGGTTCTACACCAGCCGAAGAGAAGACCTACAAGAAGTGGAAGGGCTATATGGGTACCAAGCGCATCAACGTGAGTTGTCGGCAGGTCTGGGATTAATCCGACGGCAGCCAGAGGGCCGGCCCGTCTGTGGAATTCCATCGCAGCGGACACGAGTGCCTTCGTGACAATCGGATCCGTACGCTCGGTGTAGTAGTTCTGCTGACGGCGGCCGAGTAGCGCACTCCACGGTGGAGCAGCTCTCGGAGCGTTAATGAACCCAGTTTCAGCAACTTTATGCAACGTCAAACGCACCACAACTCAATTCTGCGAAAGTTTGCACATTCTGTCACAAATCTGCTCATGCATGTGCATGCTTTTCTTCACCTAAGCCCTGTCTTCGTGCAGCAACCCCTACTTCCTTTTCCCGCGAGGTGCAGCGCTCAGCACGGGACTTGAGTTCTCCAATGCACCTCCAATGCACTCCAACGCTCTCCAATTTCTTTTTCCTTGGCCTAGGCCACCAGCTCTCTTCACGGGTTGAGGGCCGCCCCTAGCGAGTCAGCTAGCCCAGTACGGGAACCTGACGCTAGCATCTGACCAGCCGCTATCACGGAGTTTTGGTTCGTCGGAAAGCACCCTGCGCATTAGCTTTTGAAGCCACTTGGATGCTAACGAAGATTAATACCAAAAGAAGCCAGATGAATGCATGGGGCCTTGAACACCATGCGTCAGGACCCTGGCGGTTTCTGACGTGGTACTATCTATCGGTGGACGCTGCATCCAGCCCTTGGTCGCCTCATGCTGAGGGTGTGAGTTTGTGCTGTTGGTTAGCGCTTTGCGCGCACTCTCGATTCTTATGGTTCTGATCGAGGCGCAGTCATGGATGGCTTAAAGTTTAAAACCTTCGCACGCCTCCTCGGCCCGTATGTTTGTTAGTGTAACGTTCACCTCCGCACTTGAAGCTGTTCATCCCTCTTCTATCTTGTCTTTGCATTGTATTGTCCTTTCAAGAAGAGCTGACGCAGGACGTCATGGGGTTCCTGACCCTCCCCCAGTTTCGCTACCACGGACCGTGGGTACAGATGCTGATTGCTGGCCTCGGTGTTGGCTCTTCAGCGGGAATCTACGTTGCGCTCAACCTTCTTGGAGCTGGTGGTGGGAAGCCGGACTCAGCGCAAGTAGTTCAGGTTGTAAACGCGACATTATGTGCAGGTACGCGATCATGCACAAGCCACGAGAACGACGCATACTGATCATATCGCAGTTTGGTTCTTCTCGTCCTCTTTTGGCGGCTCAATCCTAAATAAGCTCGGACCCGGGTTGACTATGTGCATTGGCGTCCAGACCTACGCTGTGTACGTTGGATCTCTCTGGTATTACGATGAGACGGGTAAGACGGGCTACCCTTATGCCGCTGGCCCTATCATCGGCATTGGCGCAGGTATGGTCTTCATCGCTGCGGGCTATGTTGCAACAGGATATCCGGAAGAAAGAGAAAAGGGGTCTTATGCGACCATCTTGATGAACATGCAAGCGCTCGGGTCCGTCATTAGTGGCATCATTCCGGTCATCATCAACAGAAAGTCGGACACTGTTGCTGGCGTACCGCGATCGGTGTATATCGCCTTCATCACGATTATGGTCATCGGCGGTCTGCTATGCCTGGCTTTGCTTCGGCCACACAAGCTTACGAGAGACGATGGCTCCGTCGTTGCTGTTGATCGCCCAAGAGGAGCTTGGGAGGAGTTGAGATCCAACTTACGGGTTTTTACAGATCCTGTTCTTCTCATGATGCTACCTGCGTTCTTGCCCGCTGAGGGATTCTTGGTGTACAGTGGATCGGTCAATGGTAGGTCTTCGAGCACTCGTCAAGATAACGCTCACACATCCATAGCCTTCAATAACAACCTCCGCACCCGTTCACTGCTTTCGTTCATTGCTGTCGTTATACAAATACCAGCAGGGTGGATCTTGCAATACGTTCTTGATTACCCTGGGTGGGGTCGTCGCAAGCGTGGACTCATCGGCTTGACTGGCGTGTGTATCCCTCTAGTCATTGCATGGGTTTGGGAAATGGTATGCCTTGAAGACCATCATCACCCGCCATTGCGTCCTAACTTTATCTAGATTCGCACCCGTAACTATGATCGCAACAATCCGCCCACCAACCCTACGGACTGGGACGAGCTCAAATTCGGTTGGGTGTTTTTCCTTTTTATGCTAAACTGGGTCTTCTCACAGTTGTGGCACAACATAGTCTACTACTGGATTGGCGCCCTCACGAACTCCCCCCAAAAGCTCACGCATTATGTCGGCGTCTTTCGCGGCGTACTCGGCGCAGGAGAAGCAATCTGCTTCGGCCTCGACAGCATCAAAATCCCGTTCATCGCTGAGGCAGGTGGCATCTTGCTCTTCTACTTGATGGGTATCGCGAGCTTCTACTACCTGGGATTCTATCACATGACGGATACCAATTACAATCGTGCCGAGGAGGGCGCGGTAGTGCCAAACCACATTTTGGAGCAGGAAGGAATAAGTTCAGGTCACGAAGTCGTTATTCGAGACCGAGAAGCGAAAGAGGGGTATGTTGCGGAAACCGAAAAGGACGGATCTAGTAGCGGAGAAAAGGTTTGAGTCTTTATCACGCCCATATTTTCCTTCTTGGAGTCTTTTACTGCAGTACAAGTTGTAATAGGTCGCGTTGCGCACTCTAATGTTTAAACGAAGGTATCGCTTGTAGCGCTCAAAGCAGCCAGACTGTTGACCCAATCGGTGAATGCATGCTTTTCCTGCACTATTGCTTTTTCACCGTTCGGGCTGGATCGTCCTTCACCCGCGCTATGGGACCCCATGCGCATAGCAGTGTGGTATCATGCAGATCAGGCAGGCCATGGGAAGCAGAAACCGGTTCGTGAGTGCACGCATACGCTGTAGGTGCGCTAGTAAAGAAGCTATCGCTTGGTCTGGTGTTCCGATTCGCTCACTGTACACCCACCAACGCAGAACTCTAGATTGTGTATACAGAGGTTTACACTCCGATAGAGTTTCCCCTTCACCCCCTGCATCGACTGAGCCTACAGCGCCGCAGCACCAGATGTAGGTGGTGTAATCACTCCCACTGTTTCGCGACGGGCCGTCCCTGTCATTCTGCACATATGCAGCGTGGGTATCGCTTGGTGATATGGAACGAGCGCGAACACGTGTTGATGGAGAGAGGGGTGGTTGGCGTCAGCATTCCGGCGCTGACATCACGAGCTAGATACGAAGCTAACATGCGGGATGGGCGCGCCACGGAAGCATCTCTCAATTCGGCGCGGGAGCAAGGAGCTTGCTTCCGTGTTCGCATTCGGGCGTTTTTGGCATGTTTCGAAAAGTGGAGAGTAACGGGTGTTAGTGAGCGGCTGTGTACTCACTACTGTACACCCTGTAGCTGATAGAGTCGAATCTTCAGGGTCTGGAGTCGTGAGCGCAAGGATCTGCAGGATTCTGCAGAGATCTGCAAGCTTCGGAGAAAACCTCGGGCTATGAGGCCGAGGGGCAGAAGCATGCAGACAAACGTTCTTCATTGAAATCGAGTTCGGTGCTGTAGGAGGTTCAGGATAGTAATGGATGCTCAACATCTTCCTCCGTCACCGCACAACTTCTCGCGCACCTTGGCGACTTTGCATAACCAGCCTCTGCCGCAGTCTCCAGGCTCATCACTCTCATAATCGCTTCCAGCCCACCACTCCTACAGGTCTAGTTGCTCGAATCTGACGAGCAATGTACATGTGGTCTCGTGTCCACCAAGATCCAGCATCCGAATGAAATTCCACCCAGGTGTAACGTACATCAGTCTCACCGCGGCAACGGCGAAGATGGGGTTGCGAGAGAAACTGTCGTCACTCTTGATCAACAAGCGCAGGAATGTCAGTTCATTATCCTCATACTCCCACTCCAGGACGTCTTTCCAGATAGGATCGTTTGCGGGCGAGTTGTCCTTGTGCATGAAACCGGTCAATTTGTGGGGCTTGTAAGGCGCTGTCTTGCGCTTTGGTGGCAGATTGTTCATGTCGTTAGGGTGAACGAGTGTGCATGTCAGGTAAGGCTTGATGTCTTCATGTTCGCGGTCATTGGGTAGGGGAACGTCTGTAGCGCCAGCAACGTGCAAGCGAAGTTTCTTCCGGCGTCCGGTGCTGAGGTTACCCGAGCCACCAGCACGTAGCGCAGCTGGTTTAAGTACGTAGCCACCAGAGCCGGCAAAGAGCGCTTCGTTGATTTGCGAGCTTGCGCCAAAGGTTTGCCAATTTAGAGCGCAGATCTGGGCGCCAATACCCCAGAATGGTACCGGCGCAAGATTCTTCGAAGAAATGCGAGTTCCTTTGGGGTAGACGCGCATCAAATGATGCGCATTGTGTCTTGCTATCTTGGCGCTATTGGCGGGAAGATGCGCTTTTAGACCTGACTCAGAGACATTGATGAGTTGGTGATGTGGTGCGTTCTCCAGCTCCGCTTCGAACCAAGAATTGTTGACAGGCTTGACTGATTGCGCATACACCCCTAGCTCGGCCAGTTCAGGGATAATAGTACCAGCGTTAGTAGCCTTCTTTTTGGCGTCATACTCTTGGCGAGCTTGCTTCTGTTCCTCTTCGTCTGAACTCGAGTCACTGCTGCTACTCTCCTCTTCGTTCGGTAGATGGTACTCTACAATGACCGCCACTTTGTTTCCAAGCTCAGCGAGGGTGACATGCTCATGTTTGCTGGGGTCGTCTTGTTCGCGCGTGCCCTTGTCGCGAATGGCCTTGCTGAGGAGTCGGGGGCCGAGGACTTCTTGCATGATCTGTGCGAGGCGAAGTTGCCCGTGCGCGTCGCAATGGTTCTCTAGGGAGATCATGATAGGTGCAGCGTTCTTTTCACTGGCAGCTTCTTTGTCAACGACATCGCGGATCGTCTCACATACTTGGCGGAAGGGTATGTTAGACACGAGCGTGAACCCATGCGTGACTTTCGGCTCTTCCTTGTTGTCGTCGTTGTCCCAGGCGTCGATCTCGACGCAACGCGACCCAGTATGCAACGCGATCTCGTACGCAGAAGCATGCGATTCGCCAAAGAGTTGATGAGCCATCAGATATGTATTATGAGATGAGCTGATGAAGTATTCGGGAAGTGGATGGTTCCTGTCGATGAACTCTGGTGGGACGTTGATGTGGCTCCTGTCGAGCAATTCTCGCAACGCCGTAGTCGGCTCTTCACTTTTCAATCCAGCCTCCGACTCCTGCAAAACACCTTCCTTGACTAGGAAGCTCTTGAGTGCTCCGCTGACACGTAGTTTGTCCTTGGTAATATGCGACTGCCTTGCGGCGTGACCGCCGCCCGCCACGGTCCCCGCGTCGACAAAATCGCCCTTCTCTTCATCATCGACTTCCTTCTTCGCGAAGGGATTGAGCTTCGAGATGCCTGATATTAGGTCGGCCATGGTACCGTATAGAGAGAGCAAGTTAGGTAAGGATGTGTATGAGTAACAGCCACAGGTTTGTGATTCAGCTGCTGGCGGGGTAGGTTGGCTTGGCTTACGCCTGCCCGGAAATGCGGAAAGTGTGGCTGGGGCCTGATGACGCGTTGCATCGACCGTCTAGAAAGCGCGTCGGATCTTGGGAGGCTGTCACATATCCTGTATATTGTAGATTCGCAGTGTTCACAGACGTTTCCAGCCAGAAACTATTGCGTTCACTCTTTGCTCCGGATGTCTAAATCGGGCTAGCGAGCGGACGCGTCGCAGCCCTGGAGCTAGGTAATCCAAAACGGTCGGCTCTCTCACCCACGCGCCGTCACCGAACCCACACCAACAGCATCTACCTTCGATAACCACAAGGTGTTATCAATAGCCAGTATTCCCCTCGCTTCGATACCAACATTATCTCATTCAAAGGATCTCAGACCACCAATAACACCGACAGGGTCTGATGAGCTGCAGCCATCTGCACAACCCGTCGCGCCTGCTCAGCAGGGACGCGCTTCGAGATCGTCGCAACCACTGCCATGGCAGGTCATGCCGCTCGACCAACAACGTTACCCAGGTAGCCTCTTGCAGGTGTTTTCCTGCGCAAGTGATGCGCGCATCAGTCAGCGTTCATCAGGTAGTACATGAGATGGGCGTCTAACACAGCTATAAAGCGCTCGAAGGCTCTGCGCGTCACAGAAAAAGAATACTATTCAACGATTTTTAGGCTAGAAGAAGAGGGTAATGATGTGACCGATTGATGGCACAAGCTCAACTGAGGTCAGGCTGCCTCCCGACGCGTAGCTCGTGTTGCGACTGGGCGTAGATCGTAAAGACGGCAAAGCAGTTGCGGGAATGCGGAACGCCACCAGAAGGTCTATCATGATAAACCAGGCGGCTTCATCTAAACTCATGAGCTGGGTGAGATCAAGCTGACTGGTACCAGGGAGCACCGATCATGTATTTGGCTACATTCAGGACGCTGTGCAAGAACTGACAAGGACTCCAGTACCACCATGTCGATAATAGTGGCGAGCCATCGGAGACGTGGTATACATGCGGCTACTCTCCGGTTGCCATGATGTCCGTCATCATAGTCGGGAGCCTCATGCTCATTATTGGCGTTGGAGTAGGCTTTGTTCCTTTGCGATCGGGAACGCTTTTGGTTGGCAGTTGTAGTGCAGCCATGAGTGCAGCCTGCCATTTTTCGGCCATTGACAAGGGGAGGGGCGATGAGATTGTCCTTGAGAAGTTGATGTGGGGTGTTGTCGGGTCGCAATCAGATGGAGTGGGCCATTGCTCCTTCTCCGATGAGGCCGTGGATAAGCCTCAGGAAGGCGAGCTGTATGCTGGGCTTTGCGCGCAGGTCTCGACAGTGCTTAGAGAAGCAGAATAGACGGCCATGTAGGAAATGTTTGGCCCAGCTCAGATAGTCCCTGGCAACTTGTAGCAAACGAGATGGTGCCGTCGCGCGTGGACTTTTCTTCGGATGCCGGACGGAGGGATTACCTAAGCGTGCCATAACCAGCATTATCTCCACCTTTCGGAAGCGGGTCCGGCTACCAACCACCCTGCTTCGGCTCGCGACTAGCACACTCACGCGACGTACTCAATGATGATTTGTAACGTCATTGAAGCCATAGCAAAGAAAGCGTCCACATGGTGCGGATCAGCGTTGGATGCGGGGTCCGGATTGACCTCGGTGTACAATACCCCACATATCAAGCTTCTCCAAAGTTACTTCGAAGTCATTTGTAGAGCAGCATCTTTTAACCTACGATAGCAGAACTATTGATCCAGTGAACATGGCGAAACAAGAGTACAAATTCCCGGCGTTTGACGACCTTCCGAAGGTCAAGGGCATGCCACAGGGCAGCATATGGGGATTCTTTGACAAAGATGGGCAAAAGGATGAAGTCGGAAGTAAAGCAAATTGTACCTCATGCAGCAATCATATATCTAACAGGCGACAGCTATCAACCTTCTCACCTCGGATGTCGTCAAAGCTGCCTCCAAGGAGATCACCACCGGCGAGCACATCCAGCTTGACTGGGAATTACACAACGTGCAATTTCCAGGGTTCAACAGAAAAGAACTCGAGCAAAAGCAAATCGATTTTGCGGACTTCTCCGAGTTCTGTGCGAACGATGACGAACTTCACATCAACACTCAAGCTGGTTCTCAGTGGGATAGCTTGAAGCATTTCGCGCATCAAGAAAGCGGCATGTATTACAACGGTCTCTCGCATAAAGAGGCAGCCAACAGCGTCACGAACGGCACGCACAAGTGGTGCGAAAGAGGTGGTATTGTTGGAAGAGGTGTGCTTTGCGACTGGCTTAGTTGGTATGAGGAGAAGAACGGGAAGAAGGCCCCAAGCGCGGTATCGAGACACGAAATCCCTATCGAGGAGATTGAAGAGACGCTGAAGTGGCAAGGCACCACTTTGAAGCAGGGAGACATCATGATGATCCGTAGCGGATACGTAAGATGGCACAAGTACGTTATCCTACCACGTTGAGCGACATGTCTGACCATCCTAGCAACGCGAACGAAGCGGAGCGCAAGAGCGGTACGCGCGACAATAGTGTCGCGATTGGTCTTCAAGCCAATGAGAAGACGGTACGTTGGCTTTACGACCGTCACTTCGCGGCGATCGCTGGTGATACCGTCGCTTTTGAAGCATGGCCACCAAAGTTCACCGACGGATGGTGCCTACACGAGTGGCTTCTCGTTCATTGGGGTACCGCTATCGGCGAGATGTGGGATCTTGAGAAGCTCAGCGAGAGGTGTAAGGACATGGGCCGGTACACTTTCTTCCTGACAAGTGCTCCGCTACATGTGAGGGGTGGGATTGGAAGTCCACCCGGAGTTATTGCCATCTTCTAGTCGCATTGCGCCACTTTTGCTATTCGAATTGTACGAACGTCGTTTGTGTATATCTAATAGTATCGCTCAAATAAAGTTCAGAATCAGAAATAACCGTAGGCTAGCATGGTATATCGCGAAGATCTCGCCATCGCTTTATGTTCGTGATCCGCCTCGTCTTTGTCACATCACGCAGAATGCCAACAATCACCGTGGCTATTAAGACTAACAGTAATTGAGAAGCATGATCTAGGTAGCGAAAGATCCAAACAGTATCCAAAATCATCAAAGCCACAATGTAGCGGAAGAAATTAATAAGGTAGAGTGATCGCGTGTGCCAGCGCGTATCAGCGCGTATTCTCTTTCGTTACGAGACCCACAGACCAACACGAAACAACCAAACATAGCGTCAAAAGATGCCGCGCGGCGCTGCGACTTTTGTGGTAATGCTTGAGAGAGATAAGAGTGCGAAAGAGTTGAATGCGAAAATGGACCGAGTCAGGACGTGTATATAGTAACGGCATGCAGCCGTGTCTTGAGAGGTATCTCCGGTCGCTTCATCGTCTTCTACTTCTCTATTTACGCTCTCACATTAATCTTCTCATTTATTGATTACTCAAAATTGGTTTTGTTTATCTTCACTCCAATCCCAAGAATGGCGTCTCACGACATTGTTGCTAGAGGCGAAGCTGACTTCGATCTTTACCCTTACACGCCCTCAGCAGGCGCCGGCTACGCATTTCTCATACTATTCGCGATCGGCGGCCTGACGCATCTCATCATGCTCATTCCGTTACGAAGTTGGTTCTTCATTCCATTCGTTCTGGGCTGCGTAGGTCAGTTACCTCGGTGCTTGACCCCATCGACGAAAAGCAGACCGCTGACATGTTGATCCACAGGCGAAGCAGCAGGCTACTACGGTCGCGCCTGGTCCTCAAAGAACATCCGACAAGGCAGCCCTTATCTCCTTCAACTCATGCTTATCCTCGCGGCCGCACCGCTTCTCGCAGCCACCATCTACATGACGCTCGGTCGCCTTATTCGCTCTCTCGATGCTACGCACCACGCCGTAATGAATCCGCGCTGGACGACGAAGATATACGTCATCATCGATATCGGATCTTTCGTATGCCAGATCATGGGGTCGGCGATGCAAGCTTCCGGTGACCCGGACGGAGTGAAGACTGGAACCACCGTCGTCATCGCAGGACTGGGTACGCAATTGGTTGCTTTCGGCTTCTTCATCCTAATGGCGGTGGTATTTCATCGAAGGTTAAACAACGAACCTACCAGCACGTCACGGCGAACACATGTCAAGTGGCGCCGCTACATGTGGGCTTTGTACAGTGTCAGTGTGCTTGTCGTTGTGCGGAGCATTTTCCGGCTGGCGGAGTTTGTCGAGGGGCCAGAAAGTAAGGTGTACCAGACAGAGACGTACTTGTATGTCTTTGATGCGGCGCTCATGTTCGCGGTGGTGGTTGTCATGGCGGTCTTTCACCCGGGGTTTCTGTTCAGAGTCGTCAGAAAAGCTGAGTTGATGCCACTTAGTGATGACGAGGGAAATGGTAGCTATTTACTGCGCGGAGATGGTCCCCGGTAGTTTCTCCGGGTGGATGAACAGATGTACAGTATCTAGAAGGTGGTAGCGTAGACAGCAGAATGCCACTCTCGTTGGCCGTTTTATCTACCGGGTTCCAACCAAACACCCGAGAACTAATCAAACACCTTACCCAACGGGCAGTTACTGCCAGTGTAATAATCCACCGAGTTATATTGAATGCAGATACGGTATCAATGGCGTCAATGTTGTGGTAATCTTGCCGAAGAGAGATTGGAGTGAATGTTCTGCCGTAGAGGTCGTGGTAGCAATGAAATGTCGAATACTGCCTCAAGTTCATAACGAGCTTTTTTACCTCACCTTGGCGCAAAAGCAGAGTTCCGAGGGTGTATAAATATAGGGCTGACCATACCCAAACTCTCACTACGCCACGCACAATCTCTACTCCACGATATCGATATACATGATGTCGGGCTCACATAGTTCCTACACGCCACCATACCCTTACCAGTATGTCCCCAGCAATGGCTCCCAGATTCTTCCCCATAGTAGCCCAGTGCAAAGTTCCGTGAAGGCCTTCAGCGTCCCAGTCTCCGATCATACCCTCGAGTACCGGATTTTAGAGCTGCTACAACCTTTTCGGGACGCCAGCAGTTTCTCGAACGCCGCTACTGAAGCCAAGAACATTCTGTTGCTGGCTCGTAAGTACATCTTTCCCTGAGTCTTTTCTGGGCAATCATTCCTCTAGGGTGTCGTTGTCGATACTTGAAGTCGGTTGTGTTGCACGCGCAATCCCACTATTGGCCATTTCTTCTACCCATGTAAGTCACAAAGCTAAGAGATCTGTCAGAAAATATCGCCTCCATCATTGTCAGCAAACAGTCCAAGGATCTCTCCAAGGCGGGAATAACCGATGTGTATGTCATGAGCCGCAACTTGAACACCACCGCAGTCAACGGTACCGCAGCCAGCGGTCCGGCGTATCTCCGCATCTTCGTCCATATCGACTACCAATCGATTACAGTTGTCAAAGCGAAGATCGGGAATGGGAAGAACGCGATCGGTGCGCTTATCGACGAGGTGGACAAGGTCATCGAGAGTCTCATGGAAGAGTCATAGTGGTTGTTTGAGGTATGCATGTCGTCGGGTGGTCGAGAGGAGAAGGAGATGAATTGTAGCGCCCGAGTTCATGGGTGGCTGCTACATCACTGGATAGCTCCTAGTCAACTTCAGGGCTTTATGGAAACTGCTATATTGTGTAGATAATGACTGGTCGGCGTCTGCAGCAATCAAAATACTCCCCTCTTCTGTCCACGGTCGCCTCACCTTCTCCTGGGCTGTGACCCAGATATGATCCGCCTGCTTGACACTTCCGACATACTTGTACGACAGCATGTTCGCATCAAGTACATGCTACGAACCCTAATGACATAAACCCTTTCGAGCTTAAGCAACGCGGGCATGCGAGGCAAAGACTTTAGGGGGAAGTTCTTTGACGTTGTCACGACGCTACTAGGCTAGTAGGGATAGCCGGTGCGGCTATGGTGTGGTCGGACACCTCGTCGACTTCTGGACTAACCCTTCAATGGTTCGTGCATTTGACAACTTTGTACATAAGACATCGGAACATTCCGAGTACAGGTACAAGAAAAAAATGCCATCACAAACTTTGAGTAAGAGCGTTTTGTAGGTTGAGGCACAAATAGCGCCTGACAGGCTTAGTGGATCGGCTGATCTACGCCCTAGCACGCAGGCACGTCGACCAGTTCTGTACAAGATCGGTCAGGGCGGGCAGATCTGAAGGGAGAGCGCTTCCAGGATTGGCCTTGTCTGGAATTTCCCGGTTTCCGCACTTCACGTGCCGGGGTCGGAGCCGTTTGATGCGTGTGTGGCGCGCACGAACTTGGGAACGTGAGGGCGACGCGCCAGCAGGACCCATTGAAGTCGATGGGCGGCGAATGAGCAGGCGCCCCACGAGATTGCATCGTGAACTGGAAGATTGACGTCGTCATCGTGCGAGCGGTGTGGCCGGTGGTACTCGCGCTAGCACGTCTAGCGTGTCGCCAAGGTGTGGCGCAACGAACTAGACAGAGCGACAATAAAGGAGAGCATCACGTACTCTTGGAGAGGGTGAGGAGGCCTGCCCAAGTCAGAGATGCGCAAGAAACGGGGTCGTCCGATACATGCAGGGAAGAGTTTGCTCGGCTGGGCGGCGCCACACTTCGCATCAGACGGAATCGAATTTGCCAGGTGTGGCGCTGCCGCAATAACCCATGACGCAAGCGGGACACATGTTTTGGCATCCTTTGGGAAACCTGGCGCCGATCGAACCCCCAAACATACCTAGAGGCTCCGTCATACAGGCCAGGGCGACCTCGTTTGGGCGTGGCAGGCCTCGTGCCCCAGGCAAAACGTGGACAGTTGTGGCATTGGACGGCACGTCGTCAGGGAATTGGGCTGCCGCCTTCTCTGAGCGTGTCCGCGGAATTCGATCGATGGCAGCGGGAAAATGGTGGCCGGTAGTCGCGGGGTCAGGCAAGTTGGTCGTGGTCGGTCGCTGTTCCAAGTCCAGGCTCTTCGCAAGCGGCAAGCTACGACGCAGTGACGTAGTTGCTGCAATCGCGCGTGTTACCCAGCCAGCCCAAATACAAAGCTGCTTTCTGCCCTCACCCGCCTTCCCTCCCACACAAACCACTTTGATACCCATCCCCTCGAAATACCCATCCACCCTACCTCCATTGTTTTCAGCTCTGCGTCTGCATTTTGATACCCCACCTTGATACCCACAGAAGCAGTCCTACACCATGAGTTCCGTAAATCGTATGTCTAGCTACCCCGCTTTACCCCCAAACATTGCTAACAGGTTGCAGGTCCGGTGGACTTGAAGCAGAAGGAGAAGGATGTCAACAACAAGCTACAGCTGTACGGCATCTTCGAGGGTATGTTCACACGTGCAATGGCGCGTCGATGCCCTTCGCGTCGCACACGCAAATGTAAACAAGCGCTGACCACGACTAGCCTTCTCTAACGGAAAGGTCCCCTCCAACCAGCAAATTGATGTCGCGCTCAACTCCGCGCTTGCCCACAGGTCGCTCAACTCACCATCCAAGAAGCTGTCGAGCGAGGGTCAGCATCTGGTGACCGACCTCAAGAAGGTCATTGAGCAGGCCAAGATCCTACTACTCACCAAGAACGAGGGCAACCTCCTCCAGGACTTCATCTGGCAGGCAGAGCACCTCGGTGGCAACAGCGCCGCCCTCCCTAATGCGCCTGTTGATAAGGACACAGCGAAGCAGCACGGAAACGAGGCGCTTGACGGTCTACGGACTCTCGGTACCCTCCTCATTTCCAACGGCCAGTTCAGGAAGTTGCTTTCAGATGCCACCGTTCTGCTCCGTGATATGGCTGGCGATGCCGCCCAGAACACCGCCAACAAGGTCAAGCCCTCAGAAGACCGTCTCAACAAGCTAGACGAGCCTGCTGAGGACAACACTTGGCACGACACATCCGACCTGAACCGTGAAAACCTTCGCAATCAAGCTAAGAGCAGTCTGCCCTTCGGCAACAAGAACAAGGACGAGGCCAAGGGTGACTTGAAGGAGCATGCCAAAGACATCAACCAGGCTGCCAACCCTGATGGCTCGCGCGACCCCCAGCACACCGCCCAACTTGGCGCCCAAGAGGGTCAGACCGGCCAGAGCACTGGCGTCGACGCCCGTGGTGCTCTCGAGGCTGCCAAGCAGAAGGTTGACGCGAACACTTCTGAGGAAGACAAGAACATGGCCCGCGCCCGTCGCGACCAGATGAACAACTACCTCAAGGGCAAGATGCCTGAGGAGCGCCGCGAGCAGACCATCTGGCGTCTTAAGAAGATGGTGGTCGAGATTCAGGGCCACCAGGACTACCAGCGTGCCATCGAGACCCTACTCAACCTCGCCGAGCAGTACTCCGGCCATGGTAAGAACCTTGGCCAGCAGGGCAAGGGTTCTGTTCAAGGTGCGCATCAGAACGATGCCCTAACTACTGCTGAAGCTGACCTCAAGGTGCGTATTTAGGCTTCCTCTCCGAGAACAAATGGCTGACCAATATGAAGACTCTTCTTGAGCGTTTCGCAAACAACACCTCGTTCGATGACTTGATTGAGTCCATCAACCAGGTCTACAAGGACGCCGACCAGGATCCAGAGCTCAGGAACTGGTTTACTCGCATCAACCAGTTCATCCGCAAGACTCTCCAACAGCAGGGCTTCATTCTCGAAGACCGTAGCAACGAGGAGTGGAACCAGATCTACGATGATGGTCACCGTCTCCTTCGCGGCCGCTACCGTGGACACACTGACCGCATCGCCGACGAGTTCAAGTTCGTTGGCGAGCAGTTCGACGCTGACCCGCAGAACAAGCAGTTCGCTGAGTCTGTCAACAAGCTCTTCCTTGACCTCGGTCAGGATGAGAACGGCCAGACTGTCTTCAAGCCTCACCTTCTCAAGGACCTTAGCGATGTCATCCTCCCATCGATCTTCGAGAACGTCCGCTACGTCCCCATCCCCCGTATCGAATACAGCGACCCAATGGTCGACGCCGTCGTTGAGAACCTTGTCATCGAGGGTGACAACCTTGCTCCCAACTCTTTGGAGTTTGGCTCGGACAACTACTGGCGCTGGGGACGCAAGTCCATCTCGAGCAAGAACAAGAACAAGGTCATGCTCTCTGTCTCGGGTGTACAGATGGATCTCAGGGACGTTTCCTACTACATCAAGCGCAAGCAAGGCTTCCCATCCATCACCGACAAGGGTGTTATGGACATCTTCATGGGTGGCTCCGGCTTCAGCTTCAAGGTTGAGATGGAGACTGCTGACAAGGCTCGCGAGAACAACGCGCAGACCCACTTCTTCAAGGTCACCAAGGTTGAGTCTGACATTAAGAACCTTCAGATCAAGATGAAGAAGAGCAACCACAAGCTCCTCTTCAACATGTTCAAGCCCCTTCTCCTCAAGGTCATGCGCCCTGTCATCCAGAAGGTTTTGGAGAAGCAGATCAAGGACTCCGCCAACCAGCTTGACGGCCTTCTCTTCGACATCAAGACTGAGGCTGACCGCGCCGAGGCTGAGGCCAAGCGCAACCCCGACCCTCAGAACATTCAGAACATGTACCAGCGCTACGCCTCTGCTATGCAGCACCGCATTATGCAAGGCAAGCAGAAGAAGGAGCAGGTCAAGGAGAAGACCAAGGACACCCAGGTCAACATGGCTGTTACTCAGCACGACTCCATCTTCAAGAACATCTCCCTACCCGGCGGTATCTCTTCCAAGGCTACTGAGTACAAGGAGCTTGCCGGAAAGGGCGAGAAGTGGGAGAGCCCCATCTTCTCTATCGGCTCCGCCAAGGAGACTTCCAGCCTGCCTCAGGTTGGCAAGGTCACTCGCAAGCCCCACGGTCGCGCAGGCGGCTACGGTAGCACCAGTGAGGAGCCTCGCGGTCTTGGAGCCTCGCAGGGCATCAACCCATCCGCCAACCAGTACGACAGCCAATACAGCAACGCTGGTGGACTCGGTGGTGGTCAGGGCGTCACCACCGGTCAGGGTCTGATGGGTGGTGCTGCCGCTACTGGTCTCGCCGGCGGCGTTCCTTCCACCACTGGCACCCAAGGCTTTGGCACTCAAGTCGACGATGCTTTCAACACCACCGGCACCGCCGCGCCTGTTGGATCATCCGGCCTCGGCTCCACTGGCCTTGGTTCAACTGGCCTGAACGACCCTACTACCGCAACTACTTCAGCAACTCACCCCGCTCACCCTACTGGTGCCCCGGCCCCCGGCGAGTATAACACTACCTTCGGTGACCAGAACCCCGTCTTCCAGGGCCGCGTCTAGATGCTTGTTGGTCGACCAGTGATACCCGATATGCTTGGGGCTGCGAGTCATGATTACGACTTTCCTACCTTTTGATCATGGATGATACCACGATTGCGCCACGGCGCACGCGCACATGAGTAGCAAATAGCATGTTTTCTTGGTTCTTCTTTCTTGCTTTCGGCGGTTTATGAGTCGTGTAGGACGATTGCGCCCGTAATGGGGAGATGGTTGCCGGGGCGGACCTGAAGCTGTCCAAGGCTTTTGGTCAACGAAAATTCCTAGTTTGTCGCTATTGCCGTCTTCCCGTAGTAATAGTTAATTCAATGGTGTTTAAAATTAATTCGTCATTCTTTGAGTGAAGATTGTAAATATTCGAACGCAGGTTTCTACGGTACTTGCGCGAGTCGCATCTGCGGATTGGACCCGTCACGTCACGATCACATCAAAGCACTTACGGAATAGATAGATCTTCCTCGCCAAGGACAGTATAATTCCTTTTCGTTTGAGCAAATATCACCATCGGAGTCTAGGCCAGAACGAAATTTGGATTACCGCAAGTTCTCAACCTAATCTCTACCTATACCTGTGACGTTTAAGATTCTCCTCTTGCCGCCTCTCAATATCCTCCTCCAGCCTCTCAAGCTTCTCTTCCATTGCCTCATACTCCTGCCCTCTTCCCCTTCGTGGGTGGCCTGAAAATTCGCTTGCGCGATACGAAAAAGAATCCCCAGATGGGATACGGTGTCTGACACTTTCTACAGGTTCATCTGCATAGTGGACGCGACGCACAGGTGCTCTTTCGTAGAACCGGTCGCGACTCCGAATTCGACTTCGGCTAAGGGTCCAGCTACCGCTACGTGACCTGCCACGTCGTGAATATTTGGCTTTCAAGTCGACGTCACCACCGCGTGTGGATTTGTACCATTCGTCGTCGTCGTCGTCGTCGTCGCCAGAGTATCCCAAGAACTCCGAGCGTCTGCGAGTAATTGTAGCATTTGGTCGTGCGATCCAGTCGTCGTCGTCGTCGTCGTCGTCGTCGTCGTCATAGTACCTCGAGCGTGAGCGGGTAGTTGTGTCTTTTGTTGACGTACGTCGTGGTGGTGGGTAAGGTGGAACCTGAGACATGGGATGACCGTAGATATTAAATCTGCTTCGAACATCGCCATCTGCATACGGATTGACATGACTGGTCGGACTGAATGGGCTGAACGGATCGTTCGGATTGGCGTAGTGGCCCTTCATCATGCCGTGTGGACGAGGGCGGACTGGCACGGCTTCCTTGTAAGGCATGTATGGCGAACTTTCGTAGTCGATACGTGACGATCTTCTGTCGGGTACATGTGGGTATGGGTATAGTGATTGCCGGCGTGCTTCGATTGCTAGGGGTGCCGGACTGGGGTAAGAGTGTTGTCCCTTCGCTGGAACACCAGACGAATATGGTTGAGAAAGATATGGGGACTTGCTCATAGGGTGGTCTGGCACATACCACTCGTCAAAATCATCATCGCCATAACTCGCTCTATACAGGTCACGCCGCCGACTGGGGAATGCGTCGTAAGCTGCGCCAAACGGGTCAATGATGCTGTCTAAACCACCCTTGGATTTGGACGGCCCTTGGCGCTGCGCGACGGTTATACTAGCGGCTTCCACAGTGGCACTTTCTTTCCTCATCGTTTTGCGATACATGGACGATATTAGGTCCCGTAAACTATCGCCATTGTAACCGATCAGTAAGCAAGAGCCTACGGTCACGCAGGTTAGTGGTATGGCAACGCTCCAGAAGACAGCTTGTGTTTCGTCCATGTCTCTAATGTCAGAGGCATTCATACCAAAGTAGCTTGTAACGAATGACAATGGCAAAAAGATAACTGTAACGACGGTGAAGACCATGATAGCCTTTCCATGATCTTCTTCGTTGATCTCCAGGATTTGTTTCGTGCGATCGGAGAGCGGGGCGCAACGTCGCATTAGATCAACGTAATCTAGCCGAACTAGGGCAAGGTGATCTAGGCAGGCCCTTCCCAGAGCTTCTTCGTAAGGATGCATAGCCCGACGAGATGGGCTTGGCTTCTCATATGTGCTGTCATCGATGACCTCCAGATAATTTTGTATCAGATTGGTTTGCCAGGTGTTCACTAACTGTAAGACTTGTAACTCTTCTTGAATCAAGTTGATGGCGCGCAGAAGGCGCTTGCTTGGTCTGTGATTAATTTCGAATTGCTAGTACATGTTAGTAAAGTCTAACAATGTATCACGTCGTGTCCTCGCTGCTGTCGAAGCGTGTATAGATCCTCACTTCTTTTCTCAGAGATGTAGTATAGAGATTGAATGTACTTACAACTTTGGAGAGGTACACATGATACATGTCGCCGATGGTCTTGGACTGCTCGAGAGGCTTCATCAGCAACCCTCTCATAAACCATAGAGACACATATTCTGGTCCCAGGGAAAGATGCTTGCGAAGGTTCAATGGTAACTCGGGTCTACCCATATCGCATAACAGATACCGAGCTTTGCGCAGGGACCGTCGCGCGTGGAAACCAAAGCGTCTGAGTACTTCGACATTTCTCGATGAGTATGGATCGTTTGTAAGCTTGCGAGAGTCCTGAAACCGAGGTTCGAGTCCGTACGTCTTTTCATTCTCGTGCAATGCTCGCTCGATCGCCAGGTAGTAGATCGCAATCTTTTGAAATGCGTGAATCAGTTCTTGCGGCAGCGTATACAATGATGATAAATGTCCATCCTCATTCTGAACACCCTCGGCAAGCTCTTTGGCTCGAACTAAAAAGTCTTTGGCGATCTCACTAGCATGTGTAAGAATCACCAAAGCGCTGGCGTTGGTCAGTTCGCGCCGGTATTGTACGGAATTGATTATCCAGTCTTGCAGTTCTTCGAAACTCGGTATCTCAGCGTCAGGATGTGCAGTGCCAGCCGAATATTTTTCCACATGTCGCACAAGATGTTTCATTGCAGATGTTGCGCTACTGAATGGGCGTCTGCATCTTATACAACGCTGGATCGACCTTTGCAGTGTTTTCCTGGATTCTGGGAGTGAAGATGGGACTTCCCAAGCGGAGGTGCGGATGGACCAGATACGGTTATTTAGCATGTCAGGGTGCTTCCAATCAGAGTTCGTGTATTCCTCTGGGTCGGGCTCAACCGCTCCACGTTGCGCAATGATCGTTACTTGCTGATGGATGTTTTGCAGTGCGCCCGATAGCTTTCGAAGTATGCTGCTACTATCCAGGTCATCTACGAAAAGACCTAAAGTTTTGCAGGCAGTATCGAGAAACTCGACTGATCTTGTCAAAATCTTACGGCAATGAGTGGTGACAATCATCTTGTGGTTTATGGAACCCGACTCCGGTAGAGGCGCTGCTTTGACCAGCTCCTGTAATTCGGACAGTCGCGTAGCAACGCCTTCACATACCGTCTCAGGCAAGGAGCGGTAGTAGTTGGTTGAGGTGAAAGCATCCTCTACAGGACTGGTTGAACGAACAAGAGACCTCGACGTCATGAGCTTCTCCACGTAGTCCAGGCAGGCGATGGACCGGTCTTTCCCGGTGTTACCGAGTACCACCGGCTTCCCACTTCTAGGAGAAAGGTCGTTGGTCTTAGACTGCAACCAGTGAAAGAAGGGCGGAACACACGTAGGGGGGCCGACAGCCGCTAGTTCTGCGGTCGAAGCTTCTTCATCTCTTCCGTCACGTATCTGGTCGTATGGAATCGTAATGGTGATCGAGACAAGCTGGGCTGCTCGAGAGACGATGTTTTTCCAGTTTCCAGCCCCGGCCATAGTACCTCCATCCACATCCTCGACTTTCAAGTTGATCCCTTCGCCAACAAGGGGCCCCTCGAGAGACGGATTGCTGTGGAGAATTCGCGATTCCAGTTGGAAATAGGACCTGAAATCACCTATGGGATATGTGAGGCTGCTCCCGTCGCGATTGGTGATGTGAACCTTGGTCAGAGTGTTCTCAGTGATGCTCTGCCTGCCAAGAAGCCTAATTTCTTCTTCAACAATGCCGATTGAATTTTTCATCGCTATAGGCAGAGTTTCGTGTCCGTATGTCACAATAGCAGTTGATCCAATGTTAATGACCCACAGGCTGGGGACATGAACGATGTTGTTCATCGGATCATTGCCAAACCTCCTGTATGACTGTTCCTCATCTCGCTCACGAACAGATTCATACGGATACAAAGCCTGCATCAAGGTACGTGGATGGAACGATGAATCTTCTTGCCCAGTAGTACGCTTTGCAACTTGTTGGAGACCGAAGTAAGGTACGCAGCTGAAGATCACGGACTGGGTGTCTGTTGGATCGGATTCGTCGGCTCGAAGAACGGTCCCTGGCTCGATGAATTTACCGCCTACAAATGGCTTAATCTTTTCGCCTCGCAGTTTCAACAAGACCTCGCAGGTAAGGGCCTGTAGGCGGTCAGACAAATGTGGGATAGTGAGGCAGACCTTTTCGAAGCGGTCAAAGTCGAGATGACTACCATTGAGGTGGTACCATGTTGTTGCTATGCTTGTTCGTAATCGAGGGCTCGCCAGACTTGGTAGAGTGTGAATTTCAAGCATGTTCTGGGCCTCAGACTCGATCGCCATTGCTCTGGTGATTCTCCGTATCTCCAGATTCTTGTCTCTCGGTTCCTTCTTCTCTGCTCCTAGGCCCTCCTCGATTTCGGGTTTATCAGATTCTTCACTCGGAGCGATGCTGCTGCTCGAAGGCTTGGTCTGCACCTGAAATGAGAGCCTGTTGCCCTCGATGTCCACTGGATGCATCGCATAGCGGTTGGGCTGTAAAAGTGGGGGATCTCTCGGAGGTGTATCCTCTTCTCTGCTCGATGTCTCGCTCTCGCTAAAGTCTTCGGTGATGATACTGCTTTCTGATTCTTCGGGGGTCGAGACCGGGCGTGGGACCTCAAATCTGAGCGCCAGTTCGTTTCTAGAACTATTCGTCCCAGGCTCTACACGTGAAGTCTTTTGTGGCTGGGGTCGTGACGGTCGTCGGGAATTCCTCCATGAAGGACCATCGTTGCGCGTTGTAGTGGGTTGCTGATGCCCTGCGCTGGTCGATTGAAGCTCTTGAGCAAAATCGATGGGCTCTTCGGTGATGTAGTCGGCTATCCATTGAGAGTTTTCTGCGTCGTGGGTCTCGCTCAACGATACGTGTCGGGGCTGGTTTCCGCCCCCATACAAATCATCATGCGCAAGCTCATCAACGGAAGCTTCGCGCACCTCAGCCTGATACTGACGTGGGAGACGCGGCGTGGCTTCCGAATCTTGCGTTTGGCCCTCCATAGATAGGTAATCGGGGAGTTGGCGAGCGGAATTGTGACGGCATGGGAGAGGGGACGCGAAGAAGACAAGGCAGACATGATGTGTGGGGGCCAAAGGCTGAGCTGAAGGAAGAGTGAGAGTCAGACGCTAGTATGTGCATGCAGTTGCAGGTGTCTGGACGACCTCAGCCTCTCCGGGGTTCAGCTCGACTCCAGCCTAGCGTCTGATTTGGTCAGGCATCGTGCCATCCTGATTGGTCGCAAAAGGGGCAAGCGCGCCGTCCCCCCATGCCTCGAACATGTGTTCTCCATCAGTCTAATCGTAAGTTTAAGAGCCACAAGTTGTGGCAGTCGTCATATCGCAAGGAAAATCGCGGAGTCATTAAACATAGCTATGAAATTTGAATTCAAGCCCAGATCAAGGGCGACAAGCATATTACAAAGGCTACTACTGTTGACGACAAGATGGGACAAGTCTGGACAAAGGAAACAATCTGCGAAGGAACATGCTGCAATATCCAATATCGTCGAGCAAAAGTATCCAACTGGTATCAAAGGGCCCCGTCAATGGGCGGCGGTAAGGCTAAAGTCGTAAATCGTGATGGTATCGTAAGGAGATAGGGTTAGAGAATGTTTGCGCAATTAGTGGTGGCGGTGGAAGGTCGGTTGGTGAGGGTATACGTGTGCCAGCGTATGTACAATTGTTGTCAGAGTGGGTGTGGGGTATGTTGAGCGGTGGTCATCTGATTGTGAGAGGCTGCTGAGCTGGCGCGATGGGTGACGGTAAGAACGATTGGGGTTGCTGCTGCGTGTTGATGGCGGTGGGGGTCGCCTGCTGTATGCGTGTCTGAGGTACGTCCTTCTTCTTAACCAGCAAGCTCTTGAATGCGCCGAGCCATTTGGCTAGCGAGTCTTCATCGGAAGCGCAAAATTTGTAGTTCTTCTCCTCGGATATGACCTGCATGCAGTACTGCTTGCTTCGCGAGACCGGGTCTATGTCGACGGCATCGATGATACTGGAAAAGGGAATGATGTGGGTCGCAGAGTATTCGTCGTCGTTTTTGTAAAAGGCAAGGCACTTTGGCCGCAGGACCACCCAGATCTTCTTCCACTGGCGCACGCCGCCTTTGGACTTGAGGACATATAGCCAGCCGTGGTAGACTACCCGCTCGTTGGTCGGGGTGGCGCCGATGTTGCTCTGCTGGCTCGCATTGCGCTGTGTTTGCGGCGTTCGCGGGAGAGACTGGGCGGAGGCTTGGTTGGTGTCGGAGAAGTCGAAGTCGGAGATGGAGCCGCGCTCGCCGCCGGAGTAGTTGAGGGCTTGCGAAGGACGGCGGGCGCTGTGCATGTGCTCGGGAGCGATGGAGCTCGAGGGCCTCGGCTCTGTCTCGGAGGAGCTGGAGACGATGTTTTCTCTGGCCGCGCGACCGAAGCCAGAAAATGTCTTCCTCCCGGTGGTCGGGCTCATGACCGTCATCTCGGCCTCGTGCTCGCCGATGCGCGCCTCGGTGCGTATGAGGTGCACCCACTCCTGGGCGTCCTTGTCGGTGGTTGCGCCGAGGTGGTAGTTGCGGGCGGGCGAGAAGATGCCAAAGACATGCTCCATCTTCTTCTTCGAGTCCCGCTGGCGCGCGACGGCCGTGATCTCGGAGAGGTTGATCTGGTGGCGCAGCTTCGTCTCGTCCTTGTCCTTGTAGATAGACAGGCAGTTGGGGCGCAGGACGAGGTAGACGGGCTTCCATTGCTGTGCACGTGTTAGTAGACGTCATGGCGTGCCTGTCGGCAGCGTGCGTGCATGCGTGCCTTTGTCTTGCGCGTGCGCTTCACGACGGTGCCGGCCTTGATGATGCGGTCGAACTCGAAGCAGCCGTTCTGGTTGACGGGCGACATGATGTCGACGCTGGCATTCGCAATCTTGAGGTTCTGTATTTGGGGCGGGTCCAGCTTCATGCCAGCAGAGCGGATGGCCACGGGTTTGGCGGGCGTGTGCTGGCCGTCCAGTGTCGCTGCCATGTCGGCGGTGGGAGTCACATTCACGGACTGGCAGGCGGGGTCGATAGTGGTATGGGTGAAGGTGTGTAGGTAGGCGGGAGGCTATAGGGGCGTTGCGGTGCTCGAGCGCGGTCGTTATATCCAAACTGTTATTCAAGATCGGCAAGGGCGACAGGGGCGATGCATGGGCATGGGGCAGGCACGAACCACACCAGCAACGGCAGGCGCACAGGCTATAAGGACATGGCCAGCACCAAGGCCCGAGTCGCAGTGGTGAGGTCAAGCAAAAGACCGGCGACGATGATCCCACGACTAACACGCACGCGATGCGACGCGACCGCAGGGTGGCCGTTGGGGGTCGCTCGCAGTCAGCAGGGTCTGATGTCAGGGTGCAGCTTGTCCATGAGCCATAGTGACGCGGCGGGGTGGTAGCGCCTCTGTTTCATCCAAATCTTCAACGCCCATCCCAAACCACACAACGAATCTGTAACCTCAACCACTGCTGCATCCCCTCCACCCCTCCAATTTGCCCTTTTTGGCCTGCGCGCCTCTGATCTGCACGAAACGGCCTTCCCCGCGCCCGACTGGGTTACATCGACACGCGAAACACGACAACCGCCTCAGCAGTTTTAGCTCCGAGTCTCGACCACGCTCGCCCAGGATGCCCGTCGTTCCGAGCGACAAGCTGGTGTCGCTGCAGCAGGCGGCTGATGGCATCAGGAACATTTGCATCCTCGCTCACGTGGTACGTTGACTGTGCGCGTGACGCCGACATGTGCTGAATGCAGCAGGACCATGGCAAGACGTCCCTCACCGACGCCCTCATCGCCACCAACGGCATCATCTCCCCCAAACTCGCCGGCAAGATTCGCTACCTCGACTCGAGACCCGACGAGCAGCTGCGCGGCATCACCATGGAGTCGTCCGCCATCTCGCTATACTTTTCCCTGCTGCGACGGTCTGCGCCCGAAGCACAGCCAGAGCAAAAGGAGTTCTTGATAAACCTCATAGACTCGCCCGGGCACATAGACTTCAGTTACGAAGTCTCTACAGCATCACGTCTCTGCGATGGCGCTGTCGTGCTCGTAGACGCCGTCGAAGGCGTGTGTAGTCAGACTGTCACAGTCCTGCGACAGACATGGATAGAGAAGCTGAAGCCCTTGCTCGTCATCAACAAGATGGACAGGCTAATCACAGAACTGAAGATGAGCCCCGGAGAGGCATATACACATCTGAGCAAACTGCTCGAACAGGTAAACGCCGTCATGGGCAGCTTCTACCAAGGCGAGCGCATGGAAGACGACCTCCGATGGCGCGAGAAGATGGAAGAGAGACTAAATGCTGCAGCTGAGAAGACTGACACACGATCCTCATCCATATTAGAAAACGGTGACAGCATAGATACAACCAACACGCCCGCCGAGTACGAGGAAAAGGATGACGAGGACATATATTTCGCCCCAGAGAAGAACAATGTGATTTTCGGCAGTGCCATCGACGGCTGGGCATTCACGGTAAGACAGTTCGCCAGCCTGTACGAGAAGAAACTAGGCATCAAGCGCTCCATCCTCGAAAAGGTACTTTGGGGCGACTTCTACCTAGATCCCAAGACGAAGCGCGTACTCAGCTCCAAGCATCTCAAGGGCCGCCACCTCAAGCCCATGTTCGTTCAGCTCGTCCTAGACAACATATGGGCCGTATACGAGGCCACTACAGGAGGTAACAACGGGAAGGGGTGCGTGGATTTCCTTCCCTTTCGTGATTTGTCTGCATGTATCATAGCAATATACTTATACCTTCCATTACAGAGATCCTGCTTTGGTTGAGAAGATTACCAAATCGCTCAACCTTAACCTTCCAGCACATATCATGCGCTCGCGCGACCCGCGCGCACTCCTAATGGCACTCTTCGCAGCTTGGCTTCCGCTATCGACCGCTTTACTAGTCTCGGTCACCGAATACCTGCCTCCACCCTCGAAAGCGCAAGCCGAGCGCATGCCTGAACTCATCGACAGCTCTCCAGGCGCCGACTACGTTGCACCAGAAGTGCGCGATGCCATGACCAGCTTCAAGGCCTCCAAGAACGATCCTGTCGTAGCCTACGTCAGCAAGATGATCTCCATACCCTCCAGCGAACTACCCCAAAACAAACGAAGAGGCGGTGCGCTCACAGCTGAAGAAGCAAGGGAGATGGGGCGAAAGAAGAGGGCGGAGATCGCCCGGCAGCAGGCTATCGCCAACGGCGAGGATGCTGATGTCGGTAGTGTCACAGACGCTCTGAGCTCTGCCGCTATCGGCGAGACTGAGACGCCTGTGGAGGAGACACCAGAGCCGGACGTAGAAGCCGAGCATCTCATCGGATTCGCACGTATCTTCTCCGGCACTCTGAGTGTCGGCGATGAAGTCTACGTCCTCGGCCCGAAGTTTACCCCAGCCAACCCACACGCCGCTCCGGAACCGCAGAAGGTCAAGATCAATGCGCTATATCTAATGATGGGGCGAGGCTTAGAGCCTCTTACAACTGTCCCTGCCGGTGTCGTTTTCGGTATCGGTGGGCTCGAGGGTCACATCTTGAAGTCGGGCACGTTATGTTCTCAGCTTCCTGGATCGCTCAATCTTGCTGGTGTTCAGATGGGTTCAGAGCCTATTGTGCGCGTTGCGCTCGAACCCGAGAACCCTTACGATCTAGACAAGATGATCAAGGGTCTAAAGCTCCTCGTTCAGAGTGACCCATGCGCAGAGTATGAGCAGCTGCCAAGTGGAGAGCATGTCATATTGACAGCCGGTGAATTGCATCTTGAGCGATGCCTGAAGGATCTCAAAGAGCGATTCGCCAAATGCGAGATCCAGGCTGGTGAGCCCATCGTACCATACCGAGAGTCGATCGTGGCTGCAACAGAGATGAACCCGCCAAAGGACCCCAACCTACCACGAGGAACTGTTGTTGGCGAGACAGCTAGCAAGCACGTTTCTGTACGCCTTCGGGTCCGCCCGCTACCAGCCAGCGTCACCGAATTCCTGGGCAAGAAT